AATTCATTATGGTCATCCGTTCAATTCAGACTTCCTAAGAATATGTTTAATTTCACTGTCCGTTATATCAACAACTCCCTCCCTACTCGGAAAAACCTGGTCAAATGGAGTCTGTCATTGTCTGCTGATTGTTCCTTTTGCTCCACTCCGGAGTCACTCATGCATGTCATCTCTGGTTGTAAAGCATATCTAAATGAAGGGCGATTTACGTGGCGGCATAATTCAGTCCTGAACTTCATTGGATCCAGCCTTATGAGTGTCGACCGATCCAAACTCTACGTACATTTGCCTAGCTTTATTACTCGAGCTCCGTCAGTTATCACTGGTGATCAGTTACGTCCAGACCTTCTCTTGGCAATTGAAAATAAAGTTTTATATGTTTTGGAACTGATTGTTGGCTTTGAAACAAATCTTAACTCTAACTCAGACCGAAAACATAAAAAGTACCTGCCGCTTATTTCAGATCAAGAAAGTAATTATGATAAGGTAAAATTTGTTAATGTATCCCATAAGCTCGCTAGGCGTTTTTGGTCAATCGACGAACACCTTAACGGATATGCTCAAGGAACTGAAGTTTGATGAACAACAAATTAAATACATTAAAAAGAAAATCATTGCTATTTGTATTCTGACATCATATGTTTTCTGTCAGCGAAACAAAGACTGGACTAGCCCAGAGCTTCTAAAATTTTGAACAATATTAAATTTCCTATATTTGAAAGTTTACATAATCCAAATATTTTTCAAGTAGTCATCGATAAACTGTAGACTCTCTGGGCAGATTGTTGAAATTCGCAGAGTCCAAGAGTCGATTCAAGTATGATGCGCAGCAATAATACGAACTCCACACACACCGATCATACAGAAACAATAACTTTAATACCAGTTAATTACAATGTTCTGTTGTTGAGATAGCTCGATAGGGATTGAGGTTAATGTTTGATAGGTATTGGTAGATAGATTGGTATATGGAATATGGTTAAGGAATATGGAATGTGGGTTCGAACTATACAATTAGGAAAAGAATTACAGATTACGGCATGCGCGCAAAACTAACGTAAGCGTATACATGAATACTGTTTAACATGATACGCGATTGAAGACTAGACTAGACTAGACTAGACTAGACTAGACTAGACTAGACTAGACTAGACTAGACTAGACTAGACTAGACTAGACTAGACTAGAGAACTGACTATTACAACAAGATAAATGTAACTTACTTTGGTCGGCGCACACCAAACTTGAATAAATAATAGATACTTCGCCCGTATAAATTCACAATAGAATGTTTAGCGTTCTCGCTCTGCTTAGTTCATAGTATTGAAATATGAAACCCTAAACTAACAGACCCTAAAAATATGCATGCATTACGTTACCATGGAAATGGCAACATGTCAAGTCTTCTAAAGTACGTTTCAAACCTACATAAACTACCTTTATGAGCGAGGTTTATCAATGTAAATATAGTTTTTTGGTATACTATGAAATAAATAAAGTTTCCATTATTATCATTATTATAAAGGTCATCTTCATTAGTATTCTTTATATAATTATTCATCTTAGTTAGTATGATTATATAATTGTTCATCCTAATTAATATTCTTTTGTGGTCGTATTTTAAGCTATTCCAAACACTCGAACTCGCATTTTAAGAGCGGTTGTCTGTAATAGTCAGGTCTGCATTCTGACAAAGTTTGAAAGATTTTGAATTTTTTCATTTTACACGTCTGACCGTCAGACGTGTAAAATGAAAAAATTCAAAATCTTTCAAACATTGTCAGAATGTAGGCCTATATAAAGTATTAATGTTGTGAAAGTTTTATTTCGATCGGATAAATATTGAAGGAGAGAGACGTCGAAATTGGTTTTCCCAGGCCACTTTCGATTTGTAGAGGTCATTTTACGGCATTCCTAAAATCACTCTATTTTGCACGTTAATGTGAATATTTCACAAAACATGATTTCGTTTTATAAATTAGAGATATTTATTGATTAGCAGACGAAATTTAGAGACATTTCTGTAAAAAGTGAATATTTTACAGATTTTCTTAATGTTTTTTATTTTCGAACCTTTTTATTATATGCCATATTAGGCAGCGAATGTCTCAATTGTTACATCGACTCAGACAAAAAATTCATAACCAGATCAAAGAAATATGTTTTCGCTTGCTATTGATCAAATAAAATTTTAAGGCAACTTAGAATTGAATTTTTGACGAATTTTTTCGTAACCCCTATTTGACCGGAATAACCGTATGTTAATATAATCAGCGTCGAGTCATGTAGTTCAATAAATAACCAAATAGCTCGTCAAAAGCGTTTATTTCTTCGAGTAAACAAGCCTAGGCCTATAAAACTACCTTAGCTAAAGCTGTACGATTGGTTGAAAGCATTTAGGTCTAAATCACACTGTTTGCAGTCGTTTATTGTTCAGGTAATGCCCGATAGCCGGAGCCGCTGATTTGGCAGATTTCGTTTCAATTATATTTTATCGGGGATATGCCGCGATAAGTATAGCGAGTATATTTTTTTCCAACTCGTGTTCTCACATAAATAGTGCACACGCTTTTTGTAACAAAAATAGTCCATTTGCAAGGTCATACGATGCAAACGTCGCATTGTTTTGACGTTTTTTTAGTCGTATTTCCGGTTGGGTTAGCTCACGCGATTGTCTGAACAAAAATATAGACTAGCCATACCTTTCGCCGAAAATAGCTTCGACCCCTTAAAAAATATCGTCTTTGTACAGCCTAGACCTAGGCCTTCTATTTCTATTTATATATTTTTAATATTCAGCGCTTTTTCACATGAAAAGACTGGGACTAGTTGATTTGGGGGCGGGGCGGAGGAAGGACACAAGCCTGACGCAAGCGAAAAAATAGAAGGCCCAGTGGATTTCACAACAACAAGGCCAAAACTGCCCTGAAACTGCCCTGATTGCGAAATGCCCAATTGTTGCGTTCTCAAACAGAATTATTTGCAACTTAACAGCGAATTTAAACCGATACAGGTAAAATAAACTCATTTATAGCATAAACTTACTATTTTTATTTGTATACACGTCTAGAAAATCGGGTTTTTTATCATAAAGTTTGAAGCAACACTTTTATATATATGTTGACAAGGTGTAGCGAAACGGCACAAAATAATAATTATTTTATTCGCAAGACAATCTACTGTTTTGCTTTGAATAACTATATTTGCGAATTGGGAATGAGGATTTTGAAATTATTGTTAAAATATTACGGATATATATACAGTACTGTACGGGCTAATAATATATGTTCCGTTTTATTTTGTATATTTTACAAACACAATACTGCTTCTTGCCAAAATTGAGAAAATATATATTAATGTAGTTGTGTATAAGACAAAATTTCATGAAAGATTCTACTTTTGGTATATATTTTGACTCATTTTGTGCTTTCGCTACACCTTCTCAACATAATAATAGTGTTGCTTCGAACTTTATGATAAAAAACCCCGATTTTCTAGACGTGTATACAAATAAAAATAGTAAGTTTATGCTATAAATGAGTTTATTTTACCTGTTTCGGTTTAAATTCGCCGTTAAGTTGCAAATAATTCTGTTCGAGAACGCCAATAATTGGGCATTTCGCAACCAGGGCAGTTTCAGGGCAGTTTTGCCCTTTTGTTGGGAAATCCACTAGGTCTTCTAGACTTGCTTCCTCCGCCCCGCCCCCAAATCACCTAGTTCCAGTCTTTTCATGTGAAAAAGCGCTGAATATTAAAAATATATAAATAAGACTAGAAGGCCTAGGTCTAGGCTGGTCTTTGTAATAGTCGTGTTCGAATCCCCATCAAAAACACTATTTAGAGTGATATTTGCAAGCCTGCATCTTCAAATTTGCATTTTTATCACGGTATTTCCATTTCTTGTCCGGCTGTGAGCTCGAGACTCGAAGTAATTTGAGAGTATACGATCGCATTTGACTTTCAAACTCCCATAAATCGTTACAATGTTAATAATGACTATAACTATTGTTCGGAATTAGTTGATCTTTTATTTCTGAATCGAATGGTGGTATCTCTGTCTTCATAGCATGTACTGAACCGAAGATATGAAATTTCTAGCCGTCAACCTCTCGAGCCGATCTCGCAAAGAGTTTTAATTTAATTAATATTAAAGCTGGATTCTTCACCGTGATGTCATGCCAAAAGGTGTCTTTTCTATTTTTAAAAAAGATCCCGGCTCTATTGATTTGTGATTTGGTAATATTAATTACAGTTGTATATTTATTATTTTGTTAGTGCCCAATAAGTTTGAATTTGTTCTGAGAAAACAGTCAAACTTCAGACCAAACTTCTACGCAGTTACTTATTTAGTACAATAGTAGTTTAATTAACTGCCCATCACTTTTAAAACAGCAATAAGATAAAGACAACGTGAACGGGTGAGTTATCCATGAAATAAATAGTTGGTTTACAAAATGAATTCCGTCCTCGTGGATAAAAATTAGTTATAAATAATCTCTCCTGTATGTGTTAAATGCTACATGTATAGGGTTTTCCCCGGTATATTCCTTCTCTTTTGTATGGATGTTTGTTGTCACTGGGTCATGTGGTGCCAGCAACTCTAATCCAGCCGATACAGAATGCGTTCTTCTTCATGATTGTGATAAAAGAAATCAAGGGACACCTGTGGTCGCACGACGTTAGCTAGGATTCCAGTTTGAGAACAGAGTCTTGTCTTCCACCTGCACGAGCAGATTAGTTCATTATTTTCTATCTGACATATACTTTTGATCCAAATTCAATTAAATTTATCTAACCATTTCTGGATGATACATTTACAACACAGGCAGTACTCAGGCCAAAGAATAGTTAAGAAAGGCAGGCCAACTTTCCCAGAGGGAGGCCCGGAATGGTGGAATTGTGCAACGTTTTAAATATTAAGGAATATTCTGAATTGAGGTCGAAAAAGGTCTGAAAAGTATTTTGAAGCCCCTGCCCTCCCCCCCCCATTATCGCAAAATTAATTTATATAATTAGACTGAGTTCCTTATCAGCATTTTGAAATATCCATGTTACAAATAGAGTATTACTGCCAGGACATGCCAAGCGATATCTGGTTGGGGGGTGGGTGGATGGTGAACTTAAAAAATTCGGCCCCCTTCCTTTTCGGGGGCCCTCTCAAAGTGTTTTCTGGTAAGCAAAAATTTTACAGTAAAATGTAAAGGGTGGGAAGGGGGGGGGGGGTGTGACGTTTTTTGGGAAAAACGTTCCAAAAATTATTTTTGCGATAATGGGGAGTTCAAAATACTTTTCAGACCTTTTTCGACCTCAATTTCAGAACACGTTGCGCAATTCCAGCATTCCGGGGCCCCCTCTGGGAAAGTTGGGCCCCCTTTCAAGTTGACTTTTTTGGCCTGAGAACTGCCTGAGTGTTATAGATGTATCATCCAGAAATGCCGGTTGAATAAATGAAATTGAAATTGGACCAAAAGTATATGTCAGATAGC